CACCATTCTCCGGGTACGCACATCCCACCGGGTGCCCCACAACCTGGTGGCCTCCATGGCCATCTCCGACGTGATGGTGGCGGCCCTCGTCATGCCCCTCAGCTTGGTGCACGAGTTGTCTGGGCGGCGCTGGCGTCTGGGCCGGTCGCTCTGCCAGGTGTGGATCTCCTTTGACGTGCTGTGCTGCACCGCCAGCATCTGGAACGTCACGGCCATCGCCCTTGACCGCTACTGGTCCATCACCCGCCACCTAGAGTACACGCTCCGCACCCGACGCCGCATCTCCAACATCATGATTGCCCTTACCTGGGCCCTCTCTGCCTTCATCTCCTTGGCCCCACTGCTCTTTGGCTGGGGAGAGACTTACTCGGCGGACAGTGAGGAATGCCAAGTCAGCCAGGAGCCTTCCTACACCATCTTCTCCACCTTTGGCGCCTTCTACCTGCCCCTCTGCGTAGTGCTCTTTGCTTGGAGGTAGGTCAGCTCGGCTGTGGTTTGCTCTAGTCAACTGCTGGTAGCAGCCAAGCCCTTGCAGCAGTGGGGGAAACAGAGCTAAAGCGGGCAAGCAAACAGCATCCCACCGAAGCCCAGGGAATCCTGAGGGCTTTTAAGGGAAAGTTGGCTGCAAAGCTTGCATGCCCCATCTTTTGACTCCTTCTGAGTCCCCAGCTGTGAGCACGCAAGGTGTAGCTAAAGCAACTTTGGGCCAGATTGCGAGCCTGAGCTCCACGTGGGCGTGCAGTGACTCACAGACGTCCCCCCGTGGAATGCTGAATCAGTGCTCGCAAGCGTGAGTAAGGGGTCACCGTTCCTCCCGTGGGGAGGCGTGTGGGGGTGTGAATGGATGGGATCCTGTCTCCGCTGGGGACGATAACCTGGCAAGCAGCTGTGGCTTTGGGGAGGTTGGGAATTTACCCATGCAGAAGACACGCGTGCGGTGCATCCTTGCAAAGCCTTCCTAATCGTGGCTGCATGTGTCAGTTCATCCCAGGCATGGTGACTGTGCACTGTAAAGGCTTCTTGGGGGGAGGAAGGAAACGTACCCTTGTTTTCTTGCCTCTCCTACCAAGGACCGTGAAAATCAATGGGTTCAGGGAAAGCAAGGAGACTTCTGTGCATGGTGTGTGGGGGTGTGCCTATTCTGCTGGTCTGAGTGTAAATGGGGAGATACCCTTATTGCGATGCTGTGTGAGCAGTTCCATGTGTCCGTATATCACTACTCGCTTTAGTTTCTAGCCTCACTTAAAAATCATCTCTGTTACCCAGAAGAGGGTCATACAGCCGCTCTCCCCTCCATTAGAGCGTGACGTAGATGGCTTGCGTTCCCCCGTGAGCTCTGGCCACCACTTGCACGGTTTGGTTGTGTACCTGCTGTGTGGGATCAGCTGACGGAGGCACATACGGTGCAACTTGTGTTTGTGTTTGGCAGGTAAAAGAAGCTGCCCAGCAGCCACAGATGGTCTTCACTGTCCGGCATGCCACTGTTACGTTCCAGACGGATGGAGACACGTGGAGAGAGCAGAAGGAAAAGAAAGCTGCCCTCATGGTGGGCATCCTTATTGGGGTCTTCGTGCTCTGCTGGATCCCCTTCTTCATCACAGAGCTCATCAACCCCCTCTGCTCGTGTGACATCCCACCCATTTGGAAGAGTATTTTTCTATGGCTAGGCTATTCAAATTCCTTTTTTAACCCACTCATCTACACTGCTTTCAACAAAAACTACAACAATGCCTTCAGGAACCTATTCTTTAGACAGCACTGAGCAGAAAAAGCTTTCCCGCTGCCCCAGGAAGCTGATTGCAAATCTCAATGAATCCTACCAAACTCTCGAAGAAGTTCAAAGCCACAGCTACCGAGGCGATGCTAAAGATCGGTCCCCATGAGTCGTATGTCCCAGCAACAGGTCCGGTTCCTATGCAGAGCCTCCATCCCAGCCTCTTAAGTCGGTTGCCGTTTTTCCTGCAAAGAGCGTGTAAGGGTTTCCCTGGCCAGCAGCACAGCGTTCGTCCTCCAGTGCCCTGCTGCTTTCCTCCTGCCTTCCTAGTGACATTCTGTGTGGTGGCAGTAACGGTGCAGAGGAGTCTTCTGGCCAAGAGTCATACTCGAAACTCTCGTTTGGCCCCTGCTAGTCCCTCAGGCATTCATCGACTTTGTCCCATGTGCAAAGCTGGGGCTCTTTAATGTCAGGAGGTTTTGTCGATTATATATGAAACTAGACGTTTTATGGCTTGGTTGAAAAGTCTCTTTGTCTTGAATTTTGCTGGTAGAGATTGTTAAGTGTTTGTATTTGGGGAATAAAACCCTCAGTAAGGGTTAAGAGCAGACTCCAAGTACAAAGCCTTTTCTCACATGCTTTATTAACAACGATTTGTGCCATTTGCTATTGGATTCCCTGTAGCAAGTTTTAAAGAAAATTATTTATTGTGAAAGCTTAATGCATGGTGTACCCTGGAATGAGAGAAAATGCATGGGAAATCCACCTCTCGTTCTCTGACTGCTACGTGTGAGCATCTGCTCAGACCTTTACTTTCAGAAATACCAGCTGTAAATGTTAATCTTTGTATCTGTGTTTCCCATGCTAAACCATAAATGTATTTTCAGGAGCTGTGGGGCAGGTTTCCTGTAGTTACAGGGGACGCAAGGAGTGCATTTCAAATTGCCTGTCAATGTGAAGCTGTGTTTTACTATTTCTGAGCGTGATTCGGGTCTGCTCGAAACCAAAGCAAAGACCCCACCTGGTTTCTGTGAGCACTGGATTGCAGGCAAAGGGCAGTTAACGACCGGTGCGGTTTCATTCTGGAAGCATAAACAAACCATGGAGGTGCTCTGCTGCCAGGACCAGACTTAAATATTTCTTCTTTTGCCCACCCCTTCTTCTCTTCCTCCCCACTCCAGCTCCAGTCCCGCCTGGTCATTATTGCTCTGCTGCCTCCCTGCCTTTCCATGTTGCCAATGTAATTATAGTAGTTGGCATTTCACTCCTAGAATTAAAATTATGCACTTTATGCAGCACCGCTGGAAGACTGACAGGCCTTTGGGTAAAGAAAAGCATTGGTTTTAACTATCGGTTCTTATGGGGCAGCTACTGAAATCAGAGCGGAACTGAAATGGCGGAGGAAAAGACAAAGCGGGAATCGGAATGACGTGATTTCATGTCAGATATCTCAAGAAGAAGAGATAAAATGGGAAAATGTCAATAAATCATGGGAAGGCTCCCTGGGGGTGGATGGGATTAGTTCCTATCCTTCACAGATCGTGAGACATGAGATGTTAAAATTGTCACTGGTCCTTTCAACCAGGCAAAAGTCCTGGTAGAGTTGGTTAAAAAAAGACCTTTTCATATCTTGTGACAGGTGAAAATGGAAGCTGAGCTATCAAGTGTTGCGGCTCTTTCAGGACCAGTTAGACAAACATCCATCAGGACTGACAGAGATGTAGCTGATCC